CGACCCGGGTTCGATTCCCGCTCACAGCCAACACCGATGATGATTATCTGAACCGGTTCTGGGCCTCCCCCTAGATAGACTCAGCCTCAAATAAGTACCTGGTGCGGCATGTAAACTTCGCCACTCGGGAGACAAAGCTGTAAGTGGCACCCTCGTGTGCCGCAGTGCCGGCCTTCATCGTTGCTGCTGCTACTCGCGGTGCCTCAGATATTGGAAGAAGTCACCCCCTGTGAGTGGCTGGCTGAGGTGCCGTTTGTTGAGGAAGTACTGAAGGCGATCTAAAGTCTGAGACCAGGAAAGGCACCGGGCAGAGATGATTTCCCAAGCGAAATGCTGAGGGCGGGTGGCGTTTGTACACAGACTGCCCTATATGACATCATAACAACAGTCTGGACCGCTGGACGGGTTCCGCAGGATTGGAAGGATGCCCTGGTGGTCCCCCTCTTTAAGAAGAGGGACCGCACAGACTGTAGCAGCTACAGTGGCATCTCACTCCTCAGTGTGCCGGGAAAGGTCCTGGCAAGGATTATTCAACATCGCCTTGCTAGGCACGCTGAGGAGAGGCTTGCGGAGCCCCAATGTGGTTTCAGGAAAGGGCGGTCCTGGACAGATGCAATACTTTCTGTCCGTCTGCTACAGCAGAGGTGGAGGGAATTCCAACAAGACCTACATCTCAGGTTTGTTGACCTGGTCAAGGCCTATGATACCATCAGTAGACCTGGGCTCTGGGTTGTTCTTCGTGTTTTCGGAGTCCCTGACCCGCTTCTTACGATCATTAAGGACCTTCATGATGGTGAGCGGGCCCAGGTAAAACTACGTGGCCGGGAGTCGGAGCCATTCTCTGTTCACTTTGGGGTGCGACAGGGATGTCCTCACGCTCCCACATTATTTAACATCTATTTTTACCACGTAGTTCGTGAAGCCTTCAATAGCTGTACTGGAGGAATTTCCATCTGGTACAGATACAATGGGAGGCTGATCGATGCCTGGGTGCAGTCAAGGCATGGCTTCCTATTGCTCAACCATGTTTTGTATGCCGATGATCTGTTAATTGCTGCTCACTCAGAGGAGGAGTTGGAGGCACTGCTGCTGAACCTGGAGCTTGCCACTAAGAGGTGGGGACATACTATCAGCCAAAACTAAGCACCTGCCTGGGTATTTTGTACCATCGGACACTCCACCCCCACAACTCCCAATCGGTGATGGGGCAGTAGTGGAGAGAGTGGAGAGTTTCCCATACCTGAGCAGTGTGCTTATAACCGGCTCCAGTTTAACAGCAGAGGTCTCACTCCGAATCAGTCGAGCGGCAATATCTTTTCATCGGTTGCGTAACGCTGTGTGGAAGCTACCTGGTCTGTCGCTCCGCACGAAGCTTAAAGTCTTCTCAGCCACAGTCATTCCCTCTCTTCTCTATGCTTGCGAAACGTGGAACCCCCTAATGGAGCATCTTCGCCAGTTGGAGACATTTAGGCTGGCCTGCCTACGATCCATCCTGGGTTTAACCAGGCTGGATTGTGTGAGGAGCTCACAAATCCTTGAAAGATCTGTCCCATCGGTGAGCTCCTCTGGCAGGCAAGGCTGCGTTGGCTGGGCCATGTAGCCCGCATGCCCAGCCACCGCATGCCTAAACAGCTTTTGTTCGGCCGGATCGAGGGGGCTAACGGGTGCGGCACGGGCTAGAGAAGAGATGGAGTGATGCGGTGCAGGAGGACGTGGAGTTGAGTGGACTTGCCGATGACTGGTACCAGCGGTGTCAAGATCGGCCTCTGTGGAGGAGGCCCGTGAAGGACGCTACTGCGCAGTTGGAGGCAGTCGCCCTCCAGCAACAACGGAGGGCGGAGGAACGACGCTCACAACAACGAGCGGAGCGCCGGGTGGCTAAAGCACAGCAAGTTGGCACAGTAGGGGGCACAGGTGGTGCATCGACCAGTCATCTCGGTCATCTCAGTCAGTCGACCCGTGGCACCTGGGTCTGCCCCGTGACCTGCCAGCGGGCGTTCGACACTTCACGTGGCCTCAAGGTGCACATGGCCTGGCACAAGCATCGTGGTGACGTCACCGCCACTTCGTGGCGAATGGCGGTTGTTGTTGTGTGTCCATCCGAGCATGTGTGACTGTGTGCGTGTGTATGTGTGTGTAGGAGTTTAAGCTGATGTACGGGATGCTGTTCTCCATCAAATCCTTCATCAGCAAAATGTCTCCCACGGACATGTATCCTTTTAATCAAACTCACACCCCACATACACACCATTCGCACATACACTCACCACACACAGAACATACACACCACATACCACCCACACTCACCACACTTACCACACTCACCATGCTCACATACACTTACCACATAACACTCACATACACTCACCACACTCACCATGCTCACATACACTTACCACACACACAGCACACACACACACCACATACACACCACATACACACCACACTCATATACACTCACCACACACAAAACACACACACCACACACACACACCATATACACATAACATTCACATACACTCACCACACACAGAACACACATACCACACACAACACACACAACATATACGTACCACACTCACATACACTCACCACACACAGAACACAGTGGGCGGGCGGGCGAGCGAGCGGACGGGTGAGCAGAGTGAGCGGGTAGACATGCGAGCGGGTGAGCAGAGCGAGCGGGTGTGCGAATGAGTGGGTGGGCGAATGAGCGGGTGGGCGAATGAGCCGGCAGATGGATGCGTGACGGGTGTTCGCAGGGCTCGGGGTGTTTGATCCCTGACAGCATGGGTGGTGCGCAGGAAAGATGGCTTCCTGAACTTCCAGACGAGCCGCTATAAGCTGCACTACTACGAGACGCCCAGCGGAGTCCGCGTCGTGCTCAACACCGACCTGCAAGTGGGCTCCCTGCGTGACATCCTGCACCAGATCTACAGCACGGTTAGCCCTACACCATCGCCACGTCCACCATCGCCACGTCCACCATCGCCACACCGCCAGATTCACCACCGCTTACACCGCCAGATTCACCACCGCTTACACCGCCAGATTCACCATCGCCACACCGCCAGATCACCACCGCTTACACCGCCAGATTCACCACCGCTTACACCGCCAGATTTCACCACCGCTTACACCGCCAGATTCACCACCGTTTACACCGCCAGATTCACCACCGCTTACACCGCCCGATCACCACCGTTACACCGCCAGATTCACCACCGCTTACACCGCCAGATTCAACACCGTTACACCGCCAGATTCACCACCGCTTACACCGCCAGTTCAACACCGTTACACCGCCAGATTCACCACCGCTTACACCGCCAGATTCACCACGCTTACACCGCCAGATTCACCACCGTTTACACCGCCAGATTCACCACCGCTTACACCGCCAGATTCACCACCGCTGTACACCGCCAGATTCACCACCGCTTACACCGCCAGATTCCACCGCTTACACCTGCCAGAGTCACCCCGCTTACACCGCAGATTCACCACCGCTTACACCGCCAGATTCACCACCGTTTACACCGCCAGATTCACCACCGCTTACACCGCCAGATTCACCACCGCTTACACCGCCAGATTCACCACCGCTTACACCGCCAGATTCACCACCGCTTACACCGCCAGATTCACCACCGCTTACACCGCCAGATTCACCACCGCTTACACCGCCAGATTCACCACCGCTTACACCCGCCAGATTCACCACCGCTTACACCGCCAGATTCACCACCGCTTACACCGCCAGATTCACCACCGCTTACACCGCCAGATTCACCACCGCTTACACCGCCAGATTCACCACCGCTTACACCGCCAGATTCACCACCGCTTACACCGCCAGATTCACCACCGCTTACACCGCCAGATTCACCACCGCTTACACCGCCAGATTCACCACCGCTTACACCGCCAGATTCACCACCGCTTACACCACCAGATTCACCACCGCTTACACCGCCAGATTCACCACCGTTTACACCACCAGATTCACTACCGCTTACACCGCCAGATTCACCACCGCTTACACCACCAGATTCACCACCGTCTACACCGCCAGATTCACCACCGCTTACACCGCCAGATTCACCACCGCTTACACCGCCAGATTCACCACCGTTTACACCGCCAGATTCACCACCGCTTACACCGCCAAATTCACCACCGCTTACACCGCCAGATTCACCACCGCTTACACCGCCAGATTCACCACCGTTTACACCACCAGATTCACCACCGCTTACACCGCCAAATTCACCACCGCTTACACCACCAGATTCACCACCGCTTACACCGCCAGATTCACCACCGTTTACACCACCAGATTCACCACCGCTTACACCGCCAGATTCACCACCGTTTACACCGCCAGATTCACCACCGCTTACACCGCCAGATTCACCACCGCTTACACCGCCAGATTCACCACGGCTTACACCACCAGATTCACCACCGCTTACACCGCCAGATTCACCACCGCTTACACCACCAGATTCACCACCACTTACACCGCCAGATTCACCACCGCTTACACCACCAGATTCACCACCGCTTACACCACCAGATTCACTACTGCTTACACCGCCAGATTCACCACCGTTTACACCACCAGATTCACTACCGCTTACACCGCCAGATTCACCAGCGTTTACACCACCAGATTCACCACCGTCTACACCACCACATTCACCACCATTTACACCACCAGATTCACTACCGCTTACACCGCCAGATTCACCACCGTTTACACCACCAGATTCACCACCGCTTACACCGCCAGATTCACCACCGCTTACACCACCAGATTCAACACCGTTTACACCGCCAGATTCACCACCGCTTACACCGCCAGATTCACCACCGTTTACACCGCCAGATTCACCACCGCTTACACCACCAGATTCACCACCGTTTACACCGCCAGATTCACCACCGTTTACACCGCCAGATTCACCACCGCTTACACCACCAGATTCACCACCGCTTACACCACCAGATTCACCACCGTTTACACCGCCAGATTCACCACCGCTTACACCACCAGATTCACCACCACTTACACCGCCAGATTCACCACCGTTTACACCACCAGATTCACCACCGTGTACACCACCAGATTCACCACCGCTTACACCACCAGATTCACCACCGCTTACACCACCAGATTCACCACCGCTTACACCGCCAGATTCACCACCGCTTACACCACCAGATTCACCACCGCTTACACCACCAGATTCACCACCGTTTACACCGCCAGATTCACCACCGTTTACACCACCAGATTCACCACCGTTTACACCGCCAGATTCACCACCGTTTACACCACCAGATTCACCACCGCTTACACCACCAGATTCACCACCGCTTACACCGCCAGATTCACCACCGCTTACACCACCAGATTCACCACCGCTTACACCACCAGATTCACCACCGTTTACACCACCAGATTCACCACCGTTTACACCACCAGATTCACCACCGCTTACACCACCAGATTCACCACCGTTTACACCACCAGATTCACCACAGCTTACACCACCAGATTCACCACCGCTTACACCGCCAGATTCACTACCGCTTACACCGCCAGATTCACTACCGCTTACACCACCAGATTCACCACCGCTTACACCACCAGATTCACCACCGTTTACACCACCAGATTCACCACCGCTTACACCGCCAGATTCACTACCGCTTACACCACCAGATTCACCATTGCTTACACCGCCAGATTCACCACCGCTTACACCACCAGATTCACCACAGCTTACACCACCAGATTCACCACCGCTTACACCGCCAAATTCACTACCGCTTACACCACCAGATTCACCACCGCTTACACCACCAGATTCACCACCGTTTACACCACCAGATTCACCACCGCTTACACCGCCAGATTCACTACCGCTTACACCACCAGATTCACCACCGCTTACACCGCCAGATTCACTACCGCTTACACCGCCAGATTCACTACCGCTTACACCACCAGATTCACCACCGCTTACACCGCCAGATTCACTACCACTTACACCGCCAGATTCACCACCGTTTACACCGCCAGATTCATCACCGCTTACACCACCAGATTCACCACTGCTTACACCACCAGATTCACCACCGCTTACACCACCAGATTCACCACCGTTTACACCGCCAAATTCATCACCGCTTACACCGCCAGATTCACCACCGCTTACACCACCAGATTCACCACCGCTTACACCACCAGATTCACCACCATTTACACCGCCAGATTCACCACCGCTTACACCGCCAGATTCACCACCGTGTACACCACCAGATTCACCACCGCTTACACCACCAGATTCACCACCGCTTACACCACCAGATTCACCACCGCTTACACCGCCAGATTCACCACTGCTTACACCGCCAGATTCACCACCGTTTACACCACCAGATTCACCACCGCTTACACCACCAGATTCACCACCGTTTACACCGCCAGATTCATCACCGCTTACACCACCAGATTCACCACCGCTTACACCACCAGATTCACCACCGTTTACACCACCAGATTCACCACCGTTTACACCACCAGATTCACCACCGCTTACACCACCAGATTCACCACCGTTTACACCACCAGATTCACCACCGCTTACACCGCCAGATTCACTACCGCTTACACCGCCAGATTCACTACCGCTTACACCACCAGATTCACCACCGCTTACACCACCAGATTCACCACCGTTTACACCACCAGATTCACCACCGCTTACACCGCCAGATTCACTACCGCTTACACCACCAGATTCACCACCGCTTACACCGCCAGATTCACTACCGCTTACACCGCCAGATTCACTACCGCTTACACCACCAGATTCACCACCGCTTACACCACCAGATTCACCACCGTTTACACCACCAGATTCACCACCGCTTACACCGCCAGATTCACTACCGCTTACACCACCAGATTCACCACCGCTTACACCGCCAGATTCACTACCGCTTACACCGCCAGATTCACTACCGCTTACACCACCAAATTCACCACCGCTTACACCACCAGATTCACCACCGTTTACACCACCAGATTCACCCCCGCTTACACCGCCAGATTCACTACCGCTTACACCACCAGATTCACCACCGCTTACACCGCCAGATTCACTACCACTTACACCGCCAGATTCACCATCGCCACACCGCCAGATTCACCACCGTTTACACCACCAGATTCACCATCGCTTACACCGCCAGATTCACCACCGCTTACACCGCCAGATTCACCACCGCTTACACCACCAGATTCACCACCGCTTACACCGCCAAATTCACCACCGCTTACACCACCAGATTCACCACCGCTTACACCACCAGATTCACCACCGCTTACACCACCAGATTCACTACCACTTACACCGCCAGATTCACCATCGCCACACCGCCAGATTCACCACCGTTTACACCACCAGATTCACCATCGCTTACACCGCCAGATTCACCACCGCTTACACCACCAGATTCACCACCGCTTACACCACCAGATTCACCACCGCTTACACCGCCAAATTCACCACCGCTTACACCACCAGATTCACCACCGCTTACACCACCAGATTCACCACCGTTTACACCACCAGATTCACCACCGCTTACACCGCCAGATTCACTACCGCTTACACCACCAGATTCACCACCGTTTACACCGCCAGATTCATCACCGCTTACACCACCAGATTCACCACCACTTACACCACCAGATTCACCACCACTTACACCACCAGATTCACTACCGCTTACACCACCAGATTCACCACCGCTTACACCACCAGATTCACCACCGTTTACACCACCAGATTCACCACCGCTTACACCGCCAGATTCACTACCGCTTACACCACCAGATTCACCACCGCTTACACCGCCAGATTCAC